ACTTTATTATCGCTTTCTGGCCCACGTGTGATAACATCCATAGTCCAACACTCAAACCAAAATGACCCCAAAAAATCTGTTGACTTATCTATGGGTCAATGTACATACTGTTCTTTAACTCTTGTAAAAAGAGAAAAGAAACCACCCCCTGATGAATGCCAAGAGTGTCCTAGAAGCACAGACCCCTCTCTACTCTCTCATCCATCCATCCTTTAGGGTGGGCACAAACAGGTATGCCGGCTGAAATTTTGTAAGTTCTTTAGCCTTCGTTTCCTATGTTTCATCCTTTAGATCAGGGGTAGGCAACTTTTCCCCTTTAAGGGCCGAGGGACTTCAGCTCCCAGAATCCCAGGAGCTATTGGCCAACTTGGGACTATTGGCCAACATGGCTGAGGCTTCTGGGAGCTGAAGTCCCTCGGCCCTTAAAGGGGAAAGGTTGCCTACCCCTGCTTTAGATCCTTTGTGACATGCCTCTAAGTTTTAACCTCAACTTATTCATGAGTCATATCAAAATCCTTAAATTTGGCTTCAAAACCTGCCCTCAACTTATACATGAGGTTGACATAGTTGTGTAAATATGGTAGGTGTTTGTTTATTGATGATCATTGGTTTGACCGCATGCAATTATTTTTGTATGTAATGTTGTAAGAGATAATTCATAGACTTGGCAAGTCAGACTCTCTCAACCTCAGAGAAAGACAAAGCCAAAGCCCCTCTGAACAAATTCTGCGAAGAAAACCCCATGATAGGTTCATCTGTTTGTTATTGTTGTTGTTGTTTTGTTGTTGTTGCTATGTGCCTTCAAGTCATTTCCGATTTATGGTGACCCTAAGGGGAGCCTGTCCTGGAATTTTCTTGGCAAGATCTGTTCAGAGTTTGCCATTGCCGCCTTGTGAGGCTGAGAGCATGTGACTTGCCCAAGGTCACCCAGTGGGTTTCATGGCCAAGGAGGGGTACTGAACCCTGATCTCCAGAGTCATAGTCCAACACTCAAACCACTATACCACACTGGCTTGGGGTTGCCATAAGTCAGAAATGACTTGAAAGCACACAATAACAACAACACAGAAATGAAGCTATATTCTTTTGCAATCAATATTCAGCCAACCAACCAAATGCATGCCAGGCTCCCCCGATGCACTAGAAACAGTCGCTTAATTTTATTTTCTTAGTTAAAATTCCATCCTAATGTTTCTGATATGGTATCACTTAGAAAAACTTAGGGCCTCGGCAGACGACTAATAGAGTCGTCTTCGAGGCCCTGAAGAGGAGGGGCAGCCGCACGAGCGGCGCCCCTTCCTCTTCCTGAGGTCATCCTCGGAGTCGCCGGCCCTCCGCACAGCCAGCGCTCCGGGGATGACCTCACGCCGCAGCGACCGCATGCGCTGCGATGGAAGAGTCAGGGAAAGTGCGCCCGCCGCTTTTAGGGCGCACTTTCCCTGACATCTAAAAGGAGCGCCAATTTGGAGCTCCTTTTAGGGACGCTGCAGGAGCGCCGTGGTGCGGAGACTCCGCTCTGCCGGCGCTCCGTCCGGCGGCGTCCCGGAAGCAGTCGTCTGCTTCCCCCCTAACTTCCCAGAGGAATTTTGTGCTTTCTTTGGGTCAGTTTTAGAATTTGGAAAACATGCAGGGGTAGTTAAAGAACAGTATGTACATTGACCCATATAAAGTCAATGTGTTGTCCATTTAGCAAATTCAAACAAAAATCCACCAAACGGTGATACCTTTATTGGCCAACTGAAATGCACAATATACTTGTTGCAAGCTTTCGTAGCTCCATGAGCTTCTTCAGATCCTTTTAGAATGTGGGGTCGGTCATTTCTCATGTCAGCAGAATCCCTGAGCTTCTATGACACTGAAAGTCCCAGAGCATGTGGAGTGTAAGCCTGGGATTACCCTTTGAACTTAATCGTCCCTGGCCGATTTGCATGACCTGACAGCAGCCACAGCGAGCTTCATTAAACCCTGATCTCTTTCAGTTTACTTGAAAGGCTAGCTCACTCCTGTTCCCCTTCAGGAGATTGCTTTATGTAAGTCATCATCTACTCTTATGAGCTACTTACTTTGTTCATCAGCTACTTCAGAGATATTTTACAATGTTATTAAGGAACCAAGACCTGAGCAAATATGTGAGGCAGTTTCAAAAGTTATTTCAAAAAATACCTCTCCAGCTTTCTCTGGGGCCCACGTGTGCATTGCCCATTGTGACAGTTGCACAAAATTCTTTCAGAATTTGGAAAACAGACTTAAGAATGGAAATGTTCGTCAAACACAAGGCTTAATTCAGGTTTGAGTAACCTCTGGCTCTCCAGGGGGATTGGAGGACAACTCCCATCAGCCTTAGCCAATAGGATAATGAGAGATACAGTCAAACAAGGGCAGGAGGAACAGATTCCTCAATCCAGCAACACCTGGGAGGACAGTTTGGATTCTCTGTATCTTCGTGTATCTTGGAAATATAATATAGTAAGAAATACAAATTTGAAATTAAAAAATATCTGATAGACTACATGTTCCTCATTCCTGGCTGAATACTATTGATCATGCCAATGAGATCTGATAAACGATAATGTCCTTGCCTACAATTAATAAGTAACAAGTGTCTATTACTCTGTCCAAGGACTAAGAAACGCTGGTACACCAGCCTGTGTATGGCTGCATTATGTGTTGTCTAAGGCAAAGCAAACAGTCTTCAAACTAGGGACTGATGACCCAGCACAAAGTTCCTCCTTTTTTAAAGAACTCTGGATGCTAACCCCAACCTACGGCTCACAGAGTATTGACAACACACTACATGCAGCAATGGGAGCCAGTGTGGTGTAGTGGTTTGAGTGTTGGACTATGACTCTGGAGACCAAGGTTCGATTCCCAGCTCAACCATGAAACCCACTGGGTGACCTTGAGTAAGTCACATGCTTTCAATCTCAGGGGAAAGCAATGGCAAACCTCCTTTGAACAAATTTGCCAAGAAACATCCATGATAGGGTTGCTTTAGGGTCGCCATAAGTCAGAAACGACTTGAAGGCACACAACACACACACACACACATGTGCTGCAACAACAGGACACAAAACTCCCCCCCATTAAGCACGGTTACTCTAAGAAAAAACAAAGGAAGGGAATATCTAATTCCAGACACCCTTCAAAACATCTACACCTAGCCAGATCTGTCAGATCCTAATATCTGAAACAGGAGCATGGATTGTCCAGAATTCACTAAAGCAGTTGCAAATGTGAAATCTAAAATTATGCATTCGTGACTATTTTGTATTCACAATCCCTACATATTCACTGTTTTAGAGAATACATAGGGACTATGAAAGGGACTGAATCACTGCTTATTGGGCAGTAGCTGCTACAATCTATGAGGTCTGTTCCCTTATCAGAAAGCAGCTGGCTGACATTCCCACTCTCTCACACATGATCATTCTCCAGTGCAAGGAGGAATTGTGACAAGGACCCTATTTCAATCTGTCATGATGGAAATCATTCACAGGAGGGGGTGGGACCGTCCATCAGCTATTTCCTGATTGACAGGGGAACAAACCCCTGTCGATCACAGCAGCTGCTGTCCCATAAGTGAGGATCTGGGGAACTGGGCAGGGAGACACTATGTAGCTATGCCGCTATAGTGGTTATGTCGCCATGCAATTCCAACCATTGAATTTACTGCAGGCACTTTGCCCATGGCTTGCTGAGATCCAGGAGAAAGATTTCTGTGTGGAGTCTATCACTCCTTTGGATTAGCATATAAACTCATCTCACCAGTACCTGTAAGGTTCCCACTGAGTCCCTGGAATGTAATGATATGGGAACGCGTGTTACCGCATTAGACTATTGATAACGCAATATGAGAACAAATATTATCGCATTGCATTTACTGTTGTACCGGTACCAGCGCTAAAGTAGTTCCTCAGCCATCCCTCATTGGCGCATGCTCACTGTTGTGAAAACCTCTCTGTCTGCATTGGAAAGAATGCTACCGAGAGGTTTAGATAGCAAGCATTCATTGTTTTTTCTTGTAAACACAATGCAATTCAATCTACAAAAAAAAAAAAAAAAAAAAAAAAAAAAAAAAAAAAAATTAATTACCTGTGGCACTTTCCTTGTGTTAACACTGGGAGAGTTGAGTTGAGTTTGTGGATATTCTAGGATGGGAGGGGAGGAGGTTGTCTTAGCCAATCAGAATACGAGGACAGATTAAGAGCGGGTAGGATTATCGCACACACATCATCTGGAATGGTCTGAAAGTGTTCTTGCTGGCTGAGGACACATTTTTACAGTTCTCCTGCTGGAACGGGCTAGGGACTGTCAGAGCACAGAATGGGAACTCGATGAGGATCATACCATGCGATAAAATATGTCCCATTCCGTTCTCATCACGTTCTCATCATGCTCCGAGAACACAGTGCGATAAGTTTAAAAGTCTCAAAATGTTCCATTTAGAAATTAACACTAGGGTAGCACATGTGTCTCTATATATGTGTCCTATGTCTCTCTTTTAGAAGTAAAAACATTGAATTCAGTTGATTTACTGACTGGTAAGGATGGATATAGGATAAGTGTTAGCTTATACAGTCAGCCTTCCATATACACGCATTTTTATCTATGGATTCAGGCTTGAAAACATTTTTAAAATATATAAATTCCAAAAAGCAAACCTTGATTTTGCCATTTTATATAAAAGACACTATTTTACTATGCCACTGTATTCCATGCGCCTTGAACATGTACGGATTTTGAGATCCACAGGGATACTGCAACCAAACCCCAGTGGATACCAAGGGCCCATTGTAATTTCCTGTGAGATTTCACAGAATATTCTGCCTTTCTCCTGGAGTAAACAAAATATTGGAATGAAATGTGGGTTAAAGTGTATTTCTGTGTCCTTTGAGTGGCTGCAATTTTTTTTTTTTTTTTTTTTTTTTTTTTTTTTTTTTTTTTTTTTTTTTTTTTTTTGCTTTCTGCAACAGAAAGAAATGAAGATGTGATTGGTTTCGGGAGTGCTGGGTTTTTTTGTTTTTTTGCTTTATTTTATCTCTGGGTGCTGGACATAGTGCTCTTACCTGTTCAAACAGCACTATAGTGACCCCTAGTGACAGTTTACAAGGATTATGAAACAACACAATTTAAAAAAAAAATAGTTTTACTTTGCTCCTATACAAAATAAAATATGTATCTTCAAGTTGCCTGACATGAATCCATGAATTTCATAAGATTTTCTTAGGCTAGAAATACTCAGAGGTGGTTTGCCATTTCCTTTTTCTGAAATGTAGCCTACAACATCTAGTATTACAGTCTTTGGCAGTGTTCCAGTACAGTCGTCCCTCCCGATTCATGGGGGATCAGTTCTGGACCCCCCTGTAAATTGGAAAATCTGCAAATATCCAAGCCTCATTGGATATAATGGTGCACGCATTCCTGCGCACAACCTCGCACACACGCCATTTTGTCCCTCCTGGCTTCCCATTCATGAAAATCAAGACCACAAATGGGAAGTCGGTGAACTACGAGGGATGACTATACTTACTAGCCCTGTCTGGCCTTAGCTTCCAAGATCAGACAGAATTTGGTGCTTTCCAGGTGCGATGAATAATTTATATCTTGCTTTCCCCTAATAACATCCATGAAACAGATTGTTTGCTAATGCCATCCCCATGCTAAATCCTATTCTGTGTTGAGAAACACTTCCTTCATCATTTCTCAGGAATTACACAACTATGTTGAGCCACAAGATGACATAATGCAAGTTGTTTCCAATGATATATCTCATAGAGTGAGGCCAAGTCATGAATGTATCATATTCCTAAATGGATAGGACATGAATGAATGCAGGATATAATATGTTGGGCATCAAACAGCCAATTTTATGAATACATATTCCAGTCAGCGTGGGTGGAATATTGGAGTTATTAACTAATGAAGTCTTGCAGCACAATGTTGGAATGCAGTTTTCAACAAACACCCACAGATTAAAAGAAATGACAAAGAGCAAAGTTATAACCCCCCCCCC